ACGGTGCGCGCAATATAGGGTGGCAAAGGTGTCCGCCGACGCGGGCCAAAGTCATTATAAAAATAATCAAAGTTTCCCGGGGCGGAAGGCTCGTCAGGATGGATGATGGGTCGAGAAACGTTCCGGCGGCCGGCTTCGCACGACGCCGGCGACCGGCGTCTCATTACGTTTGACGATTATGCGTTAATTTGCACCTAGCGATACTTCAAAAGATTTTTATTCATTGCACGAGCTTTTTGCCGTCGTCCTAGGCTGGAAGTCGCGCGGCGACGTTCCCTGGTAGTCTCCGGGCCACGTCGTTCTGGGGCACGCTTCGGAGACGACTCCTCAAGTTTTATATTTTTTCCTGTCTTTCGCGTCGAGGATCGAGTGTCCTCTCGTCAAAGGATCCAGGGGATATGATAATCTCGATGTCGCGCTGAATGCGTAACGAGTTTTTCGCCGGCGACGAGAAGCGGACTCGCTCCTGATTAGCTTTGCCTTTACGTTCTCCGAAGGAAACTCGGTTTTTCGCGATTGAGTGTTCTCTTTACAGAAGGCAACAGGATTGCTAAAGTCACTATATATTATACGCTCAGAAAACATTTTTTAAATATATATGATGTTATTTCTAGAAAAGTGATAATTTTCTTTCCTTATTGGAAAAAATATCACGACTAATATTCATCGCATAGAGAATAAATTCGAATTCTCTCATTTTTCCGTTATTATCGATCTTTCGTTCGTTCAATAACCATACCAATCGAAAATCAACGACGCGTGAGAGACGTGTCGCGGCGAACATTTTGCAAGCCAATTCTCCCTCGAGACGTCGACGTCGATACGTGAACATGCTTTTTCCACGGTGCTTACGTAACCCTTGCTCGATGCCGGATCACGATGCCGGTATCAATTAATTAATTCCGTTCGTATATCTCGCACGGAGAGAGAAGCCATTGTAGCGGCGACGGCTGCCAATATACTCTCGCTTCTTTCTCTCTCTCTCTCTTTCGATACTAAACACCGTCGACTACGTCACGACCGACGGCCGCTCTCGTTTTGTATCGTGACGGCACGTGTCGCTTACAATGGTACGAGTGACTCCCGTGTGTTCTCTCTCTTTCTCTTCTTCGACTGCGATCGTCATCAATCGACACGGTTTCTCGCCCTTACGAGCGCACGCCCATCCCTCCCGACAAAATACCGAAGGCAAACAAGAGGAGCAATGCCAAAAAGCATTTATTCCCGATTCTTTATCTGACGCAGCCCGACGCGTTCTCCCATTCTCTATCTTACGCTACGTGATCGTCTCTCTCGGAGCAGGACGCGTGTCCTGGGCGTGTCCGTCTCACGCGTGTATATATTTGCGGACCGACGTAACGCGTTCCCGCTTTTATTGCTGCCGAAAATTAATGAGATCGCGAGACGATAAACGACAGATATGGCCGGGCGAACGATTCAGGCGCATCGCGCTCAACTTAGCACGTTTCGCTTTCGTTAAGTGTCCTTTCGAGACTCGCACAATTGAGTTACACGCACTCAAACTAGCCGATTAAATTAATGAGAAATAGCGTGTAGATTTTACGCGATAATTTATATATTAAATTTAGAAATCGTTGTTTCGGCGATTCTTTATCGTTTGCACGCTGCCAAATGAAATCGAATCGTTCGCCGATCACGAGACCAGTGAATCCGAGTGACGAGTGAACGCGATCACGCGTGAAGACATTTTCCACGTTCGACTTGACGCTATCGCGATGACGAATCGCAATGTTACGCCGACACGGAAACTTCTCTTTCGCGCGCGCGATCGGCAACCGCGATCGGTGACGGTACATCTGGCGTTCTTGCTGCGGGAGAAAACCGCACCGGTAGAATCCTCCTCGTATAGGAAAAGAAAAAAAGAAGGCGCGACTGATGGATGAAGATCGATGTCGTGTACGCGAGACGGAACATGCATCCTCTTCTATACTTCGATACCACCCTCTCTTCCACTGCCGCTTTCCCGCGCAATTTTGTTACACCTCATATCCCGTCCCTTTCGACTTAATATCCTTCAGCACGTGTGGAGATCTCGGCATTAACGGAGAAGCGCGTCAGGTGTATTTCCTCAAAATTCACCGATATTTTCCGGCGAGTCGCCGTTATTCGAAAACCGATTATCCTCCTCTTCAAGATATGTACCGAGATAATAAATGTGAAAAAAGTTTTACCGAGTTGTAGCGATTGTATAAAATATTGGTTATGTAGAGAGTTGACTAATTAACGGTATAATTTTATATTTCCAAAAATACAAAAAGAATAAATTTCAAATCATGTTTATCGCGAAATGCATTGCATGTTTTATAGCATTTCAAGAAGAAACCTGGAAGCTTCTCCATGAACATTCAGCATATTGATATAAAAAGATATCCACGCTGCTTGAGAGAAAGTAGAGAATAAATCGCCAAACTTTTCGGCAAAGAGGGACAAATTCGCCCGAGGGAATCATCGAAGGCGGACAAGTTGGCTCCTGTTCGCGAAATTAAATCTGTTTTTCTTTTTTCGATATATCCCGCGTTTATTTTTCCGGCAAAACTACTTACTTGACCGACGAATACGCTTCTGACACATGCTCGTTGAATACGAATCATAATACATCTTTATACCGACCATTTTTCGCCTGATATTCTATATTGAATGACTCTCTGGTTTTCTCTTATTCTTTCGACTTCTCCGCAAGAGAAGACGCAATGTTTAATTTAAGAATTATTTAAGATACAATGTAGTTTAGATAAAGAAAGAAAATAAACGTATTCAGAGTAAATATCGAAGCGATACAAAATACCCGCGTTAATTAATTGCCACGAAGATCATCCGCACTTGATTACGAATCGGCGAATAACCATTCCCAGCATGCGTGTTTACCGGACGATCCGGATGAATCGAAATCCTCGAAAGACTCCCGCTGGCTGGAATCGGCCGAGACCTGTCAGACGAGCGATTATTGATGACGCGCATTGATGGCTATCGAGAAAAAGAGAGAGAGAGAGAGAGTTGACCGCGGTCTTCGTATATCGCAGGCATGACGCTCGCTAACGCGGATATAATGCCAGGCTCTCTGCCCTCTCATAAGGGCGTCCAACAATACAATTTTCATTTTCGGTCGAAGGGTAAACGTTTCCCCCGTATACCATTCTTCACGTTCTTTTCTCCGTTCTTTTTTCTCTCGGATGACCTATGTCTGCTATCCTCCCCCTACCTCGCCTGATCTCATCTAGAACCCTCTGCCTCGATCATTTTCCATACGAGTGGAATATTCACTATGACGAGCCACCATCATTGACGTCGCCGACTCTCGAAGTAGTCGAGCTTGTCGCTCCGCAGACACGTCGGAGGTAATGGCGTGTGCCCTTTTCGAAAACCCTCCGTCACGGACGATTTTGCCGCGCGACGACGTTATTTATCACTTTCCAGTGAGGTTCCGCGCTCGCGTCTTCTCTACTTCGAGCTCCCTTTCGAGAGAGAGAGATCCGCGAAGAGGGAAGAGAACTCTGTGCCTATGTGTTTATCTCCCGGTGCAGCCATAAAGGTCGCGATGTATTAACATAAAAATTTTGTTACATTAACCTTGTAATCCCACCCATTTAAATCACTATCGTGCGAGGGGAACGAATCCCTCGTTAACGCCGTAGTTTTCATTTCGCGACATAAGCCACTTTATTTTCGTTTTTATTGGACAATTTAATTTTAATTACGTGAATCGGGGAGCTAAATATTTTATCATATATATTGTGCATTTTGCAAAGATCATTCCTTACCAGAAATCATAGAGATATATAGCGTATGTGTAAAAATTTAAATTGTGCTCTACTAAATAAATTTGCTTTTGTTGTAGTACCACAGTTTTTAGCAAAACTGTATTTTGGTAAGTCAAATATGAAGTCAAGTGGCGGTAAACTTTAAAACTAAACATCCATGCAATTCGAATGTGGTTTATAAGATCAGTTGCAATAATTGTAATGCATCTTATGTAGGCCAAACAAAGAGGCAATTGCAGACGCGAATGAAAGAACATAAAAATAATATTAGATTGGACTCAACGAAACATTCAGTAATTTCTGAACACATAATAAATGAACATCATACTTTTAATTGGGACAATGTTAAGATCATGGACAACGAAAATAATTATTATAAAAGACTCATTTCTGAGATGCTACATATCAAGGAACAAAAAAATGGACTAAATTTAAACAAAGATACTGAGTTACTTAGCGAGTCGTATTTTGATATTTTGGATATATTAGCGAACAAGAAATAATAATAGGACAAATAGGACATTAACGAGTAAAACATAGATATTAGATCATATATAAACACGCACGCTCTCCGATCAAGTAGAGTTTAAAATGAGCTGTCTTTCTGTATTGTTGGTTTGTTATGTGTCATCCTTAATAACTGTTAATAAGTAGCAAAATTGTCAAGAAGAACGATGATAGGTAAGCATACTACCAATTGTAGGGGATACATATTATAATTTGGACATACGTTGATCGGTAATTTTTTATTAATCGCAGCGCCTACGGAACGGGTTAATTTCTCGCATATTAACGATGAAACTATCCGAGATCTGAACAAAATCAGGGATCATATCGAGGCGAACATTGTTGGACAGGACGGATTGAAACACGCGTTAATTGCTCAAAAACTCTTGATTCTGAATAACTATAATTAAATTTCGATATTATGTGAATTGTAAGAATTTATATTTCAATAATTATACTGAAGAAGACCGCGTGCGGTCGAAACGTTTATAGAATGATTGTAATTTGCGTTAGTTTTAATATAATGACTGTAGTTTTATAATTTATACATGTAATAAATGGTAGTTGACTGAACATCTCGAATATTCAGCTCGATAAGTTGGCCTTATATTTATCACTTTGTTGACATTAATATAAATTGCCTACATATTAAAATCATTTATACATATATATTACTTGGCGGTTTTTATCATAAAATAAAAATTTGTCACTCACTGATCGGCGAATAACAGCAGAGTTTATAAACAGACTAGACAGATCTGTAACATAAAAATATAAGATCTATTATAGCAAAGTTCAAAATAAATAACATTTCAATAATTAATTATTATTGTATGTATTGCAACGAATTTTGTATTCAATGTATATAATAAAAAATAGACATTTATCCACCAACGTCAAAATGTATCCAGTGGGAAAATGAATTACATCGAGCGACCCAATGATGCTCCAAAAATGAGCAGCAATCGCTACACAATACTTTCTTAATTAAAATAAATTATAAAATACATTATAACAGTGAATTTTGAGGAAAAAGAGAATTAATTGATGATACGCTTTTTAAAAAAACTTTAAAGTTCTTTTAGTAATCTTACATTTAAAAATGTTACCTTTAAATATATCTATACCAAAAATCAATTCATTTATTTGAATATATATGCTATTTATGGAGAGATAAAAAAAATAAAATTTTTTTTCAATTTTACATCGCGAAAGCCTTTTCAATCAATCCCACCCAATCCCATCCGATCATTACTCGCTCGGACGAGCGACTCGCGCAAACAAAGCTGACGCAAAGAGCACGACGCACGTGTGTTTGCCGCTACCCGCCGCGCCCTGCGAGAGGTCCAGGACAGGGAGAGATACACAGCTTCTCGCCGTGAATGAAGCTCTCGGTATCCGGCGGGAAGAGACTTGGACCGGCCACCGATACCGAAACGGAACGGTGCAGTTGCGTAAATCCCTAAAGGGGAGCCCGCGAATTCGGTGCCGCGCTGCGGAAGGGCTCGGGGTGCCACGTGACAGCCGTGTTTGCTGGGTACACAGAACTCGGTGTTTGGTACACACGGCCTTGGAAGGCACAATGCTCGATGGGTTACCAAAACAGCGGCGCGACGTCGGCATAAGCGATATTTGTGTCAGCATAAAGGACCCCCTCTAAAGCCGCGTTAAAAGAACAACCGACTCCCTCTACGTCGAATATTCCCTTCTCCGCGCCCGCATCGAGTATAAGTCAGATATGAACCAGATATAAAGTGTAGCGGTTTTTTTTGCAGCAAGAAGGTCTATTTATAATTCAATATAGGGATATTTTTGAGATAAAAAAAAAGAGAAAATAAATCAATTTTTTCGAAGATATAGAATTGAAATTTTATTATCTCTCTATTAAAAATTGACAATATGTCGAATTTGACGCTGTGTTCTAAAATTAATCATTTATTTTATAAATAAAGGAAAATCTTTGTCACATAATTATAATTAAATTTATAGATTCGCATAGAACGATTCGCATAGAACGATTCGCATATTATTTCTTTCGCGTTTCGAAGTCGATGCACGTAACGCCAATAGTGAAGCGCTATCTTTTCTCTATCTTGGTACAATTTCCAAAAATTCCAACTACAATTTAACACGAGACAACTTTCCAAGCGCGTGACTCGCAGTCGTAAGAACAGTTCTCGACTTTCGTGCGAAAGTACAGCTGAAAAATTTCGCTTGCAACGAGGCGGAACCCAACGTACGCATCCTAGAAGGATTTTCGAGGTAAACGACCGTTGGCTAATGTTCGCCAGAACGAGATCCTGTGCCTGCACCCGGTTTCAGGCAGGACGACGACAGTCGCATTAGCCACAGGACGAGCTTACAATAGACCCCTCTGTTTTTCACGCATGATCGGGATAACTAAGGGGGGCTATAACCCCCTCGATTCCTCGTCTGGAACCCCGTACTTAGCGGAGGAGATTTGTGAATCGGGGTGTCGCGCCCGAAATAAGTAAAAAATTGATCGACGATACTACAGTCCGTTTTTTTTTCTAGCTGTCAAAAATTGTGAAAAACGTTTGGCTAATTTTCTGGTAATGTAAAGATCATTTATTTTTGTTCTGCCTGCGAAATAAGCACGTTTATTTGTAATACAACATGAAAATCTCTCTTTACCTTCGAGTGTGTAGAGCAAAAAAATGTTAAAATTTAAAAAATTTTGATAATAAAGAATATATAAAACCAATTTCTATTTTATTTTGTTTTTAATTGCTCAATTGCGAGTATGAAAGTTAAAACAAGAATTGAAAATTATCCAAAGGTGTTGGCTCTGCCGATAGCGCTATATTATAATGAAGAGTCGCATCAATGATTTTTCTTTTCGAACCGTTTGACGATTCGGCGAATGCACGAACTGGTTTTACACCATCGGTGTCACGCTAAATCTTCGACGCATTGTTTGCGCCCCCTCTTACCGTCACGATTTTCCATCAGCACCCCTCCAAAAAGCCTGCCACAGTCAACTCCTATCCCTCTTTGTTCCACCCTCATCGTAAACCTCCACGAAACTTAGTTCTGATCGTCATCCTTCTCGCGATCACGGATTTGCCGAAAATCGCGTGTTTAACAGTTTCAATAAATCATCATTTTGTGATATACGTTTATTATACACCTATACTTACATAGAAATACAATATTAAAATTAACTCTCTAACTATTATACCTATCAATATTTAAATCATTAGTTTTATTGAAAAATTATGCATGAGCAAAAAGTCAAAAAATAAAATTTTAATATTTTTTTACTTTAGTTTTTATACATTAATTCAAATGCAATTCTAAATCTTATATAATCGCACAAAGTTGTAAAAATGATTTAATAAATTATTTATTAAACTCTTTATATTTCCAACTTGATACCAACAAAATATTATATTATTTAATTAGATTTAATTGTCAAAAAATAAGCGCTCGCACTATCTCATTAGATTTCCGAAAAACAAAATGAAATTTGAAGATCGAAAGCAGTTTCTAATGAGACTTTAATACATCTTTTTTATCTGTCATCTCTCGTATCATCATCCATATTGCACAACTTGAAGCATTTCCTTAAATACACATCTCTTTCTCCAGTTTCATCCATTAGTTCCCGCCATAAATCACCGACGAAGGAACGATCGCGGAAATAGATGAATTTCTCCGATTATACCCTTAGTATAGTATTCCACGTACTCAGCGATACGCGGTTATATCTGAGATATAACCGACGGGCGAACCGTTGCCGATTGGCTTGATGAACGAGTGCGATTAATAATTAAGATCACCGAAGCGGAGTGGGGCCCTAAAAAGCCGCGGGCGTTCTCTCTCTCTCTTTCTTTCCTCCAATGGGGAACAGCGGGTAATGGCAATTTACGCGTCCCGCGGGACCAGATAACTTCATATCTTCGCGGTAATCATTTATTCTCTCAATGGGCATGATATTGCCAAATTGAATTAGATAAGCGCGTCGCACATGCATCTTCTACGTGTATATACGTGCGTACGCGGAAAAAAATTCGCGACATTATCGCGCAATATCCAGAAATTGATTTCCGAGCAAGTCATTATAAAGATATCAACTTGCCAATAAACCTTATGTTTAGATATATCAAAATAATGACATAGGAAAGAGTACTATATTTTTTTAACTGTATGTAAAATGTGAAGAAATTATTTCTCAATACGTCTTCTTAATGAGTGTGTAATTAAGATATAAAAGATATTTTTTTAATATAAACAGTTTCATTAAATAATGAATTTTAGATAATAGCATTGTAAACCTTTTAAGACAAACTCTGTGTACTAAATATTATAAAAAAATTTCCAGATTTTTCCTCGCATCTCTTTTTATATATTATATTATGGAGATATCTTCGTTAATAAGAAAAAATTTCAATATTTCTAGTATATTTCGATGTTTCCGTTCTTTTTAATGCGCACACAAACGAACAGACCGTTCGGCTACAGAAAATCACACCCCGATAAATTGACCCTCCATTGCTAAATACCTCCCTTTGACATTGTCGATCGGGGTAAGAGAGCTGTATGGGGACAGAATAGGGTGGCTCATAAAGGTCCACGTGGTACAAGGGAGAGAATCGCGCCGCACCGTGAACACGTCCCGATTCTCGAGCTATGGAAGATCTATTGATCCTGTCCATCAGTTTCCAGGATTCATGATCATCGCGTTGACAGATTAGCCCGATTCGTCACAGTTGCTCGAAATCCGTATATCCGGCGCGATAAACATTCGCTGCGTGGAACAATCCAGATTTTCGTGTATGAAAATGCAATCTCTAAATTATTTTCAATTACCTGAAATATCATTTTGAAGAAGTAGTTTTTTTGAGAAATTTTTATTTATTATTTTGTATCTTGCCACAATATTTTTCAAACAAACTCGACGTGTATTACGCAACACGCGATACACCTTCTATTTAAAGAGTAGTGAATGATAAATAGTATAAATAGTTGAACGATTTATGGATTCATGATCATCCGGTTGACAGATTAGCCCGATTCGTCACAGTTGCTCGAAATCCGTATATCCGGCGCGATAAACATTCGCTGCGTGGAACAATCCAGATTTTCGTGTATGAAAATGCAATCTCTAAATTATTTTCAATTACCTGAAATATCATTTTGAAGAAGCAGTTTTTCGAGAAATTTTTATTTATTATTTTGTATCTTGCCACAATATTTTTCAAACAAACTCGACGTGTATTACGCAACACGCGATACACCTTCTATTTAAAGAGTAGTGAATGATAAATAGTATAAATAGTTGAACGATTTATGGATTCATGATCATCCGGTTGACAGATTAGCCCGATTCGTCACAGTTGCTCGAAATCCGTATATCCGGCGCGATAAACATTCGCTGCGTGGAACAATCCAGATTTTCGTGTATGAAAATGCAATCTCTAAATTATTTTCAATTACCTGAAATATCATTTTGAAGAAGCGAGAAATTTTTATTTATTATTTTGTATCTTGCCACAATATTTTTCAAACAAACTCGACGTGTATTACGCAACACGCGATACACCTTCTATTTAAGAGTAGTGAATGATAAATAGTATAAATAGTTGAACGATTTAGGCGTCATCGTGACTATCGTCCCCCGAAGCGACGAATACGTCAATGCGTGCCTCGCGAGGCGGGGTACACGCTGTTTTGTTACCAGCGTGCGACCCGCGCCACGTGCCCGAGATTAATGTGTTTTGATTTTTAGACTTCG